CCCCTGGTTCGCCATCTTGGGACCAGACGTCCCACCCCCTGACTCCTGACCTTTGCCGCCAGAAGCCCCACCCCCTGACTCCTGACCTTTGCTACCGGAAGTCCCTCCCCTTGCACAACTTACCAGGTAGCAAGGGGTTGTGCCCCCTCTAGCATCCTGCCCCAGCAGTGAGGTTTCAGGGTCATCAGACCTCCCCTAGAACTTTCCCCCTACCTGTGCCAGCTGGTCCCAAAAGGAGGAGGCACTGCTTCTGCTGGCCAGTGCCGACCCAGCTGGCCTTTCCCCGTCCCCAGCAGCACCTGGGAAGTTGGCTTTAGCCTTATGCTGCTCTGGATGGGACAGACCTGGCTGGGTCTGCACCAGCCAGGAAAGGCAGCATGCAGCTGAAGTCGGCTCCTCACATGCTGCTGGGGATGGGAGGAACCTGGCCGGGTCTGCACTGGCCAGCAGAAGTGGCAATGGAGCCATGTGCCCCTTGAAACTGACCGGTGCAGGCAGGAGGAAAATGCAGTGGAGCCCCTGCCACTCCAGCTGGGCTTATCCTGTCCTGAGCAGCACATGGCTCCACCACCACCTCTCCTCCCTGGTGCTGACTGGGCTGGAGCTGTGGCCCAGCTGCCGCTTCCCCTCCCCAGTGCCAGCCCAGCCTGACCCTGCATGGCCCGATCGGCACGGCACAGGGAAAGCCAGCCCAGCAGTCTCTTTCCTGGGCTTACCTGCAAGGCAGGGCCCTTTCCGGTCCCGTGCAGCAAAGCAGAACCTGGCCCAGACACTGTTTCCCCTCACCGGCCTCACAGGTTCTGGCCCAGCCCCCCACCCCCTCAAGCTACAAACATGGCCTGAGCCGGGGTGGGGCGAGGTCAGCTGGGTCAGGCTGAGGTCAGGGTTGGTTGCCTTGTAACCAGAACCCAAGAAAACAGCCTGGGATGCTGCAGCCGGTGGCTGGTGCCACTGGAGGCTTTGAGAGAGGCAGCCACCATTAACATCGGTTTTGAAGGGGCTCTGTGGGCCGGAGGGAAGTGATTGGTGGGCTGGATCTGGCCCACGGGCCGTATTTTGCCCACCCCCAATATAAGGCCTAATGCAGCAATTCTCAGCCAGGGTGCCTTGGCACCTTAGGGTGTCTTGAGATCCTTTCAGGGGTGCTGTGGTGTGTCATGCAACGTTATCACTGTTAGGTGTGCAAACATGCTTCACAAGATAATCCCAGTGATATCAAATAGTACCCATAATGTTAAAAACATTCTGGGTTGTACTGGTCTGTGTGTATTTTTTGCAACACAAGAATTGCTCTATTATTTTTCTGTCATCAAAAACTGAGTGAAAACTAAGCTGGCATTTTCCCAAGGGGGGCTATGAGTCTTAAAAGGTTGAGAACCACTGGCCTAAGGGATAAGAGTCTACATCATAACAAACACCACTGTAGCTGCACCGGGTGCTGATGGGTTTCAGCAGAAAGATCAACAACACTCTCTGGCATTCAGACATGGTTTCCCCAAGTTTGCGCTAATGGACTTCAGCATGAAAACAAGCACCCAGAGCAGATCAGGGGTTGAGGTGGCACAGTTGTTTCCTCTGCTGCTGAGAGCCTGGCACCAAACAGGTGTGCAGCAAGCTCTCCACTACCATTGTATCCCCCCCTTCAGCATGCAGGATCCATGCCTGCTGGTATCCTTGCTGACCTGTTGTACCTGTCCTGTTAATAGAGGATTTTGGTCTCCAGAGCCATTGACCTCAAACCTTGCAAAAGAACTAAATTCTTCAATGTTCTTTTCCCCATATACAAATCTGTTCTTTTCCCCATATACAGTATCTCTCCCCTCCCCCAAAGGAATTCTATAACTACTCCGTGCTCACTTGAGAAGTAGGTATCTCCAGATTATTTCTAAATTAATGTCTCCCCTATTACATCCCATTTACAAAGACCTATTACTGTGCTTTCTTTATTCATGCTTACCTCACTAATGGCTGCATTGTCCTCCTCGCCTGGGCGTACCAGTCTGTTTCCAGTTAGCTTCATGGATAGTCCAAAATCACTAATTACACATGTTCCATCATTCTTCACCAGTACATTACGGCTATTCAAGTCCCGATGGGAAATTGCAGGTTTGTAGTGGTCTGTGGGGATATATGAAAGTGTTCATTATTAACTGAAAAGCACTTCCGATTGACAAAATAGGAATCTCATTGTGTCTGCTCATTTATTAAAACACAAAATATAACTTCCTGAAGTTAACATTTTCTTCCTTATGGCCACAGAAACATACTTTAGTAACCATAGAAACACTGACTGATGTTCATAACATCTTGCTATGTCTATTGGAACGGGGTCCCTGCCCCATTACTGAGGGGGAGAGGGAGCCCAGGATCAGCTGGCTGGCCCAGCCCCTGGAACAGATTTACAGTGGCGAAGGGGTCTTAAATAAGATGGTTGTCCATCCTATGTGCAGGCAGTGATTGACAGGGGTGGAAGTAGATGGTCAGGTGACTCAGGAAGAGGCTTATAAACCCAGGGCCTAAGAGAAGGGACACTGACATAAGAGCCACAGGAGGCAAAGCTCCAGGGAAAAGCCAGTCCAGGCTGCTCACAGAAGAAGGACTCTGGGCAGAAGGGGAGTTGGAAGAAACTGTGCATTCCAAGCAGCAATAGATAAGTGCCTTGAGCCTTTGTGGCAGTGCTATCATAGGGCAGGATTAAGCCTGGGAGGAAAACCTTTTTGTTTTGGGAGTGGACAATCATGGTTTTGGTTTGGCTTTAAACTGAAGGACCAGCTGTGGCTGTAAGGGGAGGACTGGAAGCCACAGGGATGCTGCAGGGACATCCCAACACAGAGCACTTCTAGGACCTGAAGTCCAGTGGGCTGTGTGAGGGCAGAAGCCCAAACACTTCAGGAGGACTGCTGCTTGTAAGAGGATTGAATACCTAGCAGCAAAGACTGTGGGGTGTGAGCCTGAAGCCCACAAGGGGCGAGCCCAGGGGGCAGAGGGGCCCAGAGCCCAAGAGGGGTAAGCTGGGGCCCAGGAGTCTGGGGTCCTGGTACAGTGGACCTTGGGTGCAAAAACCCAGCTACTAGATTAAAGTGGGTGAAGGCTGGGGAGGCCTTAGCCCAGACAAGAACCAGTCACCACAAAACCCACTTCTGCCTCTTAGGTGCAAACCCCCTATGAAATCATAACATCAAGGCAGTGCAGGTGAAATAATAGGGTAGGTGAACCCTGAGAGGACAGAGGGGAGTAGCAGGGTAGTATCTAGGTGGCGAGTCAGGCAGGAGAGGGGACCTTGCCACTTTACCGGTGACTCCATTACACTCTGCAACCTATTATTAGATAATTCTTCTACACAGTTTTAACAAAACCAGCAAGTTTATTTTGATTCCCACAAAGATTTCAGCATAGCTTAAGCAGGCAAGTCATATGCATTTAAGCACAGACCTGCTGTCCCAAATTTAACTCCCAGCCCAAGCAACTTCCTGATACCAGAATCCTCCCTCATATGAGGCACAAGCAGCTTGCTTTACAATTAGCTTGGCACCTATGCAGAAACTGGACGGGGGCAGTCAGATCAATATACAGCTCACATTTGTTCCAGAGCTTGAATACACTAATCCTGCAATGGATCAGAGCTGCCCCAGGAGAAACCTCAGGTTATTCCTAAACGTACCTCTCCAGCTGGACAAATGAACGCACTGTTCCCCAACTGCCTGGTCTGGCTCTCAAACTTATTTTAATGCCTTCCATGACTGAATGTGAACAGCTGATATCTGGAAAGTCACTGCTTGGCAGCAAGAATGAACTGTTGATCTAAGCAAGTAACAGGTCTTAAACTAAGTCACAAAGTATCAGAAAAGTCTAATATATTAAAACACTTAAATGCTGCTGGAAGTCTTATCAGTTCTGAGCAATTTTTTGTGGACTTCACCGTAAGTTGTGTAAACCTTTGCAGAAGCTTGTTACAAAAGGACTGAAATGTACTTATCATAAAATACTGTAAACATAACCTTATCTAGCGTTCTCAAATTACGACTGCTAGCCAGCGGAACAGTTTGTATCCATTTTTTAATGGAGCCTTGTTTAGTAAAACAGCCAAGAACGCAGAACTGGTTTATTATGGTCTTATGTTCCTAGAATCTGAGTTCATTATGCATTGTAAGTTTCCCCCTGGATTATACACACACAAAAAAAGACTATTGTTCTGTCTTTCTTCACGGTGGTAGAAGGTTTGTGTAATTGCAGCTGCTTAATGGAAAGACTTAGCTGTATCTTTCACAATGATTAAGTTTAAGGTGCTGGCTGCAGTTTCACTGGCATATATGAATATAAAATAGGCTAATGACAGCCTTGCTTTTGAATAGGTATTTTCCTCTATTTTTCATAAACATTACTGCTTACATTCATTATTATAAACTTCCTTTTAACCAAAATTTAGGACATTCTCAGCTTCTACTATTTACTGGTGAATTAATCTTCCTGTGCCTTACTAGTCCTTTCATTTGTAGTTACTATTTCAGTGACAAACCATACTTTTTAAAATTTTACATAATAGATCTCAGAATAACTATCATATAATTATACTTTAGCTATAAAAATGTTGAATGAAGCATGCAACTAAAAACGAAAAAGGTGCATCTCAATAGTTTGTCCCGTACAGTGTTGTAATAAAGCATCAAATTAATTAGGTGTTTGTATTTATACATAGGAAAAATATGGTCCCTTCCCTGAAACAAAATGTTATAGAAGATAAGACTACAATAAAACAGAAGATATAAATATTTTCCTTCCATATACATAATATGCATACTTTTAAACTGCAAATACTGCTTCTGTGATATATATATGAACTGTGATATATCAGAACACTTCATCTGCATGCTTTTTTAAATTCAGATAGTGCATGTCAGATCCTCTGCGTCTTTAGTCATCTCTTACTATGGCACAACAGTATTGTGCAACTCAGCTTCTCTCTTGCATGTTTGTGGAGTTTTGTTGGCTCTTTGTCCACATTTTCATAAAAGTACCTACAGATCCAGACCATGGTGTTGGAGTACTCAGGAGACGGATATACTACAGGAAGCTATGTGTAGTCTATATTTTTACTTATCATCTGCTCACAGTTATTTCTTAAAATAAACTATTTCTCTTTGATACTGCCTGTGAAAAGGAAAAGAAAAACTACTACCTGAAACCTATCCCAATTATTCTGCTCTAAATACATCCCTTCCTGATCTTACCTCCTCGAGGTAACTCCGTGTGAAGGTATGCCAGGCCCCTGGTTATTGAGTGGGCTAAGCGACAAGAGCTCACCCAATCACTTGTATGGAGACTCAAATACTTGCACAGAGAACCCTAGAGGGAAAAATAAAAACAGTGGTTTGAAATTGTATCAACCTTAATTATTAAGTCAAAATATTTTAAAGAGTCTGTATCACCAAGTGTTCCCCAGACTCTAATTCTGCAACTGCTCATGAGTTTTATCTAAAAGTTTAACAGAATATTGAATAGAAGGTTGAAGACTGAAAAATTATGCAAAAATAAAAATAAGTTCCTGTGAGGTCTTTTAAGACCTGAAGAAAAATGAACATTAACTATAAAATTACAGTAGTTTAGATAGACTGCATTTATCCTTTTGCAGCTATTCCAGTATTCTGAAATCCTTCGTAAAGAAGGAAGGTAATTGGAGACAATTACCTGGAATGCTAAATAGTGAACTCTGAATAATCAGGACCCATAACAAGAGATTTACTGGACTAAAAGCAACCTTTACTGTACATATTTTATATTTCAGAAGGACAGGGGCTAGTCAAAATGAAGAGAAAGCACCACCCAAGTCAGATGGCTCACTGGGTTAAGGTATACCAATTACTGGGCCACTAGAATGCAAACAAATGGTGCAACTAGCATCATACTCTAGTCTTCCTGATTCCCCAGCCTGAATGGCCAGGTATTCATGTACATGTGGGTCATCTAGAGGCAGCCTTTGGCATGAGCCAAGAGTGAGGTTTTAAACTGATATCTTCTGTAACAAAGTGGGACACCTTAACTGCTCTGCCTCCCCACCCCAAGGGAGCAGAATTGGTAGCAACATGTAGTTAAATCTGGCCAACACTACCCATGATAAGGTGGTATTTTCAGTTGTTGATAACTTTGCAAAACATTAGTTGACTGAGTTGATAATTCTCAAGTTTGCTATCAATTTATTTGGAAGACTTCTGAAAAAAATTCAGGAAAAATTCTGTTTCAGAGAATGAAGTTATGGGGAAAACTGAGTTTTGCCAATATTTAATTACTTTTTCTGAGCCATCTCTTTGGCAAGCTTCAGCATCTCCTGTGTTTGGAAAACAAGCTTTAAATTTGTTGGTGGGTGGGGTACAGCAGAAAAGAAGCAGGAGTAGTCCTGCAGTATAAGAGGAGCCTTTTATAGTCCCCATGAAAATCTATTCCTATTTGGCTGAAGTTTGTGCCTTTCATAGTAATCATCACACCATATTTATAGCTTTTTAGAGATATTTTGCTATATTCCACAAGGTTCTGCATTGGCAGTCTATGCATGCTCCAGTCCAGCACCACAGAGCTTGTAGATGCCAACTTCACAAAATATGCTTACATGCTCCACTCAGCATCTTAGATAGAAGACACTTAGGTAATGGACAGACATTAATTTTTCTTGCTACAATTCCAGGAAATTTGCAACACTAGAAATCTTCCCAAGAGAGAGAGTTTATAGGCATTTCAGCCTGCAGCCCCTCTCCAGGTCTCAGAAAGGCATGGGGAGAAGCTGCTGCTCCACTCCCTCTGGTCCTTCGTCTGGGCAAGGCACGGGAAGCCTTTCCCTGCCACTTGACTCCTTCACGTCCTGAGAGGAGCTGGACAGCTGGGAAATGCTCCCTTCATGTTTCCTGGACCATGGTTACCTCAGGGTTACTCCTCTCAGTCCCACGAGGAATCTTAGGAATGAAAACTAACATCTGACTATGTAAATAGAAGTTAAGTATCTCTACCATTAATAGAGCTTTTTATAATTTATATACATATTCATATTTAATTTAAAAAAACCAGCTTCATGTAACTTCTAATTTTTTTGGAAGTCTAGTAAATATAGACACTTGACTACATTTGGGATATACTGCATCATACCAAAAGGTGGTTTAGATGGGATAAATGTGTATAACACAGCTTAGAAGTACTGGAGTCTGGGATAGAAGTTTAATCCAATGTTTATTTAACATTATCAGTCCAAAACCAGCTGAGAATACAGTTCCTGTCATTCCTATATTTAGTTATAAAACTCTTAGAGCCTTTTAAATTCACACTGTATAGCATACAGAGCCACAAATAGATAAGCTGTTTGTTGGAAAAAATAGGACAAGTGTGACTTGCATACATACCCCATGCACAAACCAAATTTTATTTTGTGTTGCTTAAGTGTTGTCATATGCAGATTGCAAGACACCTAACCCATGCTGCTTCTATGCTCTAATAATGAAAAGAAACCCTGAATCCAAGTAGTAATTCATTATAGATCACTTTACATTTTAAATATTTATTTTTAATAAATATTTTTTCTGAAATAAAAAAAACACCATTGTGACTTTCCTTTACCCTAACAACTATGAAACTAGCCAGAAATTTCAAAGTATCTATGGATATCAGAAAATTCAGCACTTGTCTCCCGAGTGCTAGAGACAGACTTGATTTTATCTAGCACATAAAGAGATTTTGCATACAGCTGCCCTTATTTAGGATAACGTCAAATATTTTGAGTCTTATTTCTCTGTATAATCACACCATTACTCAGTCTGTTTAGTCTACTCCTCCCACCATGTCAGTACTAAAAATCAGTCTCTATCTGCTCATGTAGACTCTGGAATCCTGAGGATTTCTGCTGTCTCTGCTAGTTCTGAGTTATATTTGGCTTTCCATTCCAGCTAGAGCATGAATAAGCTCACTCAGACCTCTCAACCTGCCAGGGACCAAATGTAGGAGACATCATGCTAGAGACCCAAAATAAGGGTGGCACAGAAATTATTAAAATGAAAAACCTGAACCCCTTTCAAGATGATTGATTTTAGTATGAAATAACTTCATCTATAACCCAATAGCCAGGATTCTTAATTTCTGAGGCAAGTCATTTTCAACAACAGAAGTGAAAGGGCACCACATTTTTCTGTGGATAGTTATTTTTGGGACTAAAATTAACTATGTCTCTAAAAAATGAAGCACACTTGAGAATTATGAACTCTTTGACAGCTGCAACATCAGCTACAGGAATGGTTTCTTGGTACTCCACTGCATCTCTGCTTCCATCATATTTTAACGCTGATATTTAGGGGCATCTAAGTCGGATTTGAAAGGAAGTGCAAAGGTGATCCTCTGGAGTCTGATTATTTTCTGATCATGGATGGTATGTGGACACAGAAAAGAGATATAACAAAGTCAGAGACGCTTTCTTTGTCCTCTGCTGTAGCAACTGTATGAGGGAAGATGGTCTAGATATTATGGGCATGTCCTCATGAGCACACATGTGCGGGGGCGTGTTTCCCATGGCACAAATAGCAGCGGCACATATTTGTGCTGCTGCTATTTGTCCCTGGGCACATCCCTGAACGTGCACTCCGGCACACGGGAAAGGGACCTGGGTGGGGCAGGGGGGCCTGAAACCAGTGCCTGTGCTGATCCCAGCAGCCTTACCTGGGGGACTCTGGGCCTCCTGGGGCAGCAGCGGCATTGAGTCAGCGGTTCGGAGCTTGGCTGGCAGCTAGAGTGTGGCTGTGGCCAGCCAGGCTCTGTTTTTTGGCAGTGCATACTGCTGCCATGTGTACTGCACAGCTTTTTTTAGCAGCAGTTTTTTTTAACACCAGGATCGCCCAGTGTAAAAAACCCCCCAAAACCTGCTGCACTGCAAATTAGCAGCACAGAGCATGGGTGCATGCGAACTGCAAACCAAATGTACGTGCTCATGGGGATCCACCCTACAGCACTAAAACTGGGACCTTCTGGTAGATCAGCAAAAGTTAGGGTTTTTGCATCCAATCTGCTTCACATGATTAGGTGCGTAAGGCATAGTTCAGTCATTACTAACCTATTTGATCCTGGATCATTTTCTTCATTTTGATCAAACCCTTAACCTGCAAGTCTGCTGCTTCAACTATGAATGTGTTGCACTGATTTCTCTTCCTTTTGCTTTAGGGCTTTTAAAACAAGGCTTGTTTGGGGAGCCTGTTAGCCAATATTCCCGGAACACAGTCACGGTAAGTTCTGTACTATTTGTTACTGTGGGTGAATTATACTCATTTCAAGATCTCAGCATTCTTATTCTATATGAAACTTTACTTTGAATATCCAGGCAGACATCTAGACAGGAAGGCATTTAAACTTCTTTTTGATGCAATTATTCTTCTAGGATTCCAGTCATACAAGAATATGCCTAACAGATTGCTATAAAGATTCATAGCTTAGTGCTGATGCTTTAGACTTCCCTAATGAGGTGAGTTCCTGAAAAGCAGTGCTTGCTTTCCCAGTTGAGTCATCCTATCACAGATGCAGGAATCTGAGTTATGAAAGATGCTGCCTAGGTACATAAAGTCATCAGCAGCACTGAAGAACATTTCTAGAACAATGGAATGATTTCAGGTCGCATTGGCTTTCATAACCCTTATTTTTGACTTGCTGATTATAAGGCCTAATTGTTTAACAGTTGTGACTAAGCTATCAGTCTTTTGTTATATTTTGTGCATCGCTGTATTCAAGAGGAAGATATAATTCGTAAAGTTCAGATTTCTAAGCACTCCATCTGCCCGAAGAATTTCTAAACCTGATGCCAGAGATAGTTCAGAATCAACGAACATACCAAATAACAAAGGGGAGAGGACGTACCCTTGATTAACACCGGTAGGAACATCAAACCAGTAAACTAATTCCTGGCACAATAACTTGGTACATCTGGTGTCTTCATAAATATTCCAGAAGACCTGGATAGTTTTAGATGACAATCTACGGATTCCTAGCATCTACCACAAACACTTACACTACACTGTCAAAGGCTTTCTAAAAGTTGATGAAATTTAAGATAAGTTGTAGCTGCTGTTCAGTGCTTTGTTCCATGATAATGCACAGCATGAAGTTATGAGCAATAAAAGAATGGGTGGGATGAAAACCAGCTTGTTTTTCTCAAAATCCACTGGTGATAGGATTATGGATTCTGTTCAAAACCATTGTACAGAAGAGTTTCCTGGGGACTAACAAAATCATGCTCTTAAATCTCCTCTCTCAGGCCATTCCATTATTTCACTGTTCCATTTTTGTGGTGGATTCTGTCTCCTGTACTTGGCTGAAGAATCCTAGCAGCA